GTGATCTGATTGTTCTTGTTTCTTGCCTTCATACTCTGTGTGAAGTTGTGAAAGTAATCTTGCCCGTTATGTCCTGAAGACCTTGTTTTGAAACTCGGTCATTTTCTGATAGTCCGCGCTTTGTTTAGACTTGTTACGTGAATAGAATTTTGGTATGCTCTTTTGCCATCATTGTAGAATGTGGGGTGTTGCAGAGATCTTTTGTTATTGATCCTGTTAGTCTCCACAGCATAGTTGGTGGAGAATTTGTTTTGTTTGTCACATGACCAGTGGAGGATGGGTAAACCCTCTACTTTGCAAGAGATTCAAGGCTATTTTAGCCAATGTGTGTTTTTCTAGATGCGTTTTAGGAGCTGGATTACTTGGTAATTCCGTTGCTCCTTATCTTTCTGAAAGTGTTATAGTGAAAATTTCACTTTTTCCATTTGAAGCTTCATGGTCTTTTCATGTGGCTCATTTTTCTATATTGGTTAATCAAGAGCAGTGATCATTCAATTGAAATTGTTGTCTTTTTGTGAAGATTGGCAAGTTATCATAAAGTTAAACTCTCTATTGTTGCCAATCTTTATATTCTTGATACTTGGAAATTGCTTGAAACTCTTGAAATCCGTCTTGAATCTTTCTTGATATTGCTTTGTACTTGTTCTTGAAACTGAAATCCAGAAATGGATAATGATTATTGGAATCCTCATTATCTTGATACTTGTTTGAAATTAATTATTGCACTGTTCTTGGAATCTAGTTGAATTGTCCTTGAAAACCATTCTTGTTCTGACTCTGCTCTTGCTCAAATTCTGTATATTGCTCTTGCTCAAATCCTGCAAATTCTGCTGGGTCTTGTTTCAGTATACCTGTTGATCTTCTTGATTCCTGGTTTTTGTTCATATGGACACCTTTTTAGGAGGGGTGACGATTATCAGAAAATATCTATATGAGGTATTCTAAATTCTTGTCTCTTACAAGTGTTAATTTCTGTATTCTTGATGTCCTAGCTTTAACTTGACTCTAGGATGACTTGACTGTAAATCTGCTTAGCCTCGCTTCCATGAGCTACGAGGTGAAGGGGTATTCTTTGAAATACTTGATGCCCTAGAGTTTTGTTCCAAGTGAAATGGTTCTTTGATCTGGCTGCTTGGATTTTTGTTTGCCCTTTTAATTGGAAGACATTAATCTTCTAAGCATCTTGATCCCAGCCATTGCTTTGTTCTGTTAATTAATTCTAGTACTTGAGGTGCTAGATCTTGACATTCTGATTATATCTGCTCTTGAATCCGTGTTCTGATTGTCATTATTGGAATTTCTTTTGTGGGTCTAATTCTTGAATTCTATTGCTTATTTCATGGTTAACTCTTGTC